TGTGCCTGTCTAACATGTGCGTGGACATATCCCACACTATTCGTTTAGCTTGTCAAACCTCTAATTGACAGGCATTTATCATGCTGTAAAGGAGAAGTTGTGGTATTTCCCTTGCCAAGACGTGGAGTATGTCACTAGAAATCAGCCACAGTTAACGTTAAGATATCCCTGAGCTTGGCCCATCCTCTTCGCTAACGATTTGCTGAGATTTAAAATAACAAACCTGAATACTCTTTTAAGCAAAGCTTTGGTTTCCAGATCACGCGCTTAGTAGGACAACATGGAATATTGTTAACCGCTTATCTCTGAAGAGGATCTTAAAGCCATACCGTTTGACAGGCTCACAATAAAAACACATCAAAAAGTGTGTACTGGAATGCACCGTGGGCATTTAGGACTGATGTAACTTCAGTTTTAAAATGAGAACTCGGAGAACTTTGATTTGCATGGAATTTTTTTTTCCTGCTGCCACTATCAGTAGAAAAACTCCTTTCAAGAATTACAAGTCAAAGCAATTGCAGTACAAGTGTTGAAACAAAGCCTGAAGGTTTTGGTGCAACTAGACGCTAATGGTACCTGACAATAAACAAAGTGCACAGTACGTGGTGGAGAGGGAAAAAAAAAGGCGGGGGGAAGAAGAACAAGAAAAAAGAAAGCAAAGAGGAAGGAGGACAACTGAGGTTGCCCATCTCATAGGGCACAGGGACTGCAGGTGTAGATCCAGGAGCAACCACTGCAGAAAAGTAGTGTTTCATGTCCATGACTCTTTAAATTCATACGCACAGAGTAACGGGTAATCTGGAATGCACACTGTGCTACTGATGTGAGAAAAACAAGCATGGGAATTGAGGAAAACCATATGCTTGTCTTGCAGTAGTGGAGGCTCTCATGCAAAAGAAAAATAATCATTCAGGTTACTGGGTTAATTGACTAATATAAGCTACGCCGTGTTTTCTGACACGACAAGCTTGACCGTTTTATTCACAGTAATAAACCAGTCACTGGTTTCTGTGCAACTACCCTGTTACCATAAATCTAAACCATTGCCCCCAATGGAGCCTGTTTTATGAGCACAGGCCTCCGACACTTTTTGGCATTGGGCTCCAGTGTCTCCAGGCATGGAAGGACGCTGATTTTTCTAGAGGAAAGCCACACACTTTGGATTTCATTCGCCACTTATAAAGCACAGCTTTGGAAAGCTATCTGTAACTTATAATGAAGAAAAGTTTTTACAGGAGTATTTCATTTGAATTTTCAAAAAAATGGAAACTCAAGGAGGGGGGGAAAAAAAAAGGGTATACTAATTAAACAAAGGGCATTTATAAGCTTTCATTTTAACAAGGAGTAAAAGTGAAGCAACCAGGATCCCACAAGACAGGAAGTAACCTATTTCCAGCAGACAGGATATACGAATGGCCCAGTACAAAACACCAGCAAGATATCACCAGGAACATCTCGTCCCATTATCCCAGGTCAAGGAAGGCGAATGAGAGAGGCAAAAGAGAGATAATAGTCTTATTAATGGCTTTTACCAGAAAAATCTGTAGATCTAATCCTTCAAAGTATGCTGAAATTCAGCTCCTTCAAGACCTACAACTTGTTGTTTTTAGAAGGAGAGCTATGCTGTGCATTCGGAAGAGGTAACAACTTTGAGCGGTTTTAGAGGAACTTTGGCGGCAGAGATTTCTGCAGACCATGCCACACGTTATTTCATTTTGATCAAACAAGGCTGATTAATGACCATCCTCTGAGGATTTCCAATTGCAGCCTTTGAGGTTCCCATGCATTTGGCATGGCGCTGCAAAGCGCTAAAGCTCAGGCCAACTTCCTTCTGAACTGACTTTCTCCAGCTGTATTTCTCTACCACCACAAAACGCTGAGCTCCGCTCTGTTACCAATAAGCAGTACTAGCAGGCACGTTCTCAGTGCTGTCCACAGCCAATGCTAAAAGCTAGGATACTCCAAAATAAGCCGTGTGTTTTGAACCACTACCCTGCCTGCCTGGCAAAGATAAACTGGTCCAATGGGTCAAAACCCAAAGACCTCCCAAACGACACTGGGTCTTAACAGAAGAAGAAAAGACGACCTCCAGTGTCTTGGAGAAAGGGAAAAAGTAAAAACGATACGGAGATTTGTATTCTATTACTGAATATATTCGGGCGGGGGGAACAAAAAGAGAGATTTGAGGACAGAATAGACTATTTGGTATTTTCTGCATCAAGCAGAACCATGTAGTTCTCCCATGGAGAGCGCTGAAGACGCTGTACGCTAAACCGGCGACCAGTTGTCTCCTTCTTCCAGACCAATTTGCTTAATGCCATCAGTTCTGCAAAATGCTCGAGTGACTCAGTCCTCTTACACAGACCCCCAAAGGCTCAGCGCACTACATCAAACACTCAATCTAATCAAATGCCAAAAGATCTCCCTGCTCGCACCGAGGATACGTCAACAAAGGATAATAAAATTCTCGTGGACTGGTTTATTAACTGCAACTTCGCAACGCACTAGCTGGAGTCGCAGCGATTTCGCTGCGGCCAGGGGACGGACAGCGCTCCCGTCCCCCCAAAACCGTGGGCTGAAATCCCCGTGGTTGCAATGGTAGCTGGGCATGCCAATGCTAGGCTGCATTGCTATGGAGCCGGCATGGACAAGCGGTCAAGAAGCAGCTGGGCATTAATATGAAGTAAAATACAACCTGGTGCGAGAGCCTTTGCTTTACATGATAGTTATTTGGTGACCTTGGGGGAAGGGGGAG